CTAATAATACGAATGATACGAATGATAGTAATAAGGAGGATTGTACGATGAAAAACAATCTTCATACTACTATGAACAATGCTACTAGAAGTAATATTGATAATCATACGTCACTACTACTACTACTACTACTACTACTACTACTACTAGTCATAACAATAGTAATAATCATACCACTGATCAGACTCATACCAGAATTATCAACATCAATAATGATAACAACAACACGAGTAACCATCACACTAATACCAACAAGTATACTAATACGAAGACGACGAATGACATTCCTTATGCACATAACAATATTGTTATATTTTTTACTACGAGTAATACTACGAAGAGGAGGAGGCGGAGGAGGAGGTGGAGGAGGAGGAGGAGGAACAATTACAGGATGAGGAGGAGGGGGGCGAGGAGGAGGAGGATGATGAAAAGAGGAGGAGGAAGGGGGAGAGCAGAGAGGAGGCGGAGGCTGAGTCGGAGGAAAAGGAGAGGAAGGAGGAGAGGAGAGGAGAGGAGGAGGAGGAGGAGGAGGAGGAGGAGGAGGAGGAGGAGGAGGAGGAGGAGAGGAGGAGGGAGGAGGAGGAGGAGGGAGGAGGAGGAGAGGAGGAGGAGGAGGAGGAGAGGAGAGGAGGAGAGGGAGAGGAGAGGAGGAGGGGGAGGGGGGGGGGGGGAGGAGGAGGAGGAGGAGGAGGAGGGAGAGGAGGGATAGGAGGAAGGAGGATAGGAGAGGGAGGAGGAGGAGGGGCGGGGGAGGCGCGGCGCCCGCCTGCTCCTGCGGCCCTCGTCCTTTTCTTTGGAACGAGGAGGAGGAGGAAGAGGAGGAGGAGGAGGATGAGGAGGAGGGCGAGGAGGCAGGGAGGAGGAGAAGGAGGAGGAAGAGGAGGAGGACGAGGAGGAGGATGAGGGACCAGGAAGAGGAGGGAGGAGGGAAGAGGAGGAGGAGCAGGAGGAGGAGGTGGAGGAGGAGGAGGAGGGGCAGGAGGAGGTGGAGGTTTCCACCTACCTCAGTAGGCTTTGCCGAGTGTCTATCTGTTCGTGCAGGAAATCGGTGGGGGCAGGGCCCTTGACGGCCCTCGGCGTTTCTCGGCGTTTCTCGGGGGCTACCCCTGGGGTTGCCCCGGGCAGTGCTAAGGACTCCCAAGCAGTGCCATGCAATGCCAAGCAGTGGTTTCAAGCAATGCCAAACATCGCCGAGGAGTGCTTCGCCGCATTGCATTGTTTTGCATCGTTCAAAATTGCTTTGTGTTACTTTGGAAGGCGGAATTGGGCTGCGCCGGGTGTGTTTGTTAGGGGGGGGGCCACAGGGTATCTTTGGCTATCTTTGGCTGCTCTTGTTTTCATCCCTCCTCTCCCGTCTCTCCCTCATTCCGCTTCTTTCTTCCGCATTCCCCTTTCCCTCCCCCTCTCTCTCTCTCTCCCCGCCGCCCTCCATCTCGACTTCTGTCCTCGTTCTCTCTGTTTTGCGTCCGCCTTCTCCCTCTGCCGCCCCCGCTCCCGCGTGCGCCTCTCCCCTCCGCCGTCCCTCTCCCCAGTTCTGACCTCCGTCCCTGCTGTTGCGTCTGCCTCCTCCCTCCGCTGGTCCCGCTCTTTGTAGAAACACATTTTCATTGTTTCGGCGGCGAGCGAGGATGGGGAAGTGAGAGGAGAAGGCCTTCTCAGAAGGCGGTGGGACTTCTCAGAAGGCCTCTAACCTTCTGAGAGGTTTAGACAACTTCTCAGAAGGCCGGGGGACTTCCGAGCCTTCTGAGACGGCCCGCCCCTTCTCACTTCCCCCCCTCGCTGGCCGCCGATTGTAGAGTCAGATCTTCATTGTTTCTTGGACATCAGCACGGGAGAGGACTAGGGTGCCAATAAACCAGGGCCTTGATCACCTTTTCAGGTGCACCCCCCTCAGCCTCCAGGACGACCCCACGGCGGCTAGCAATCCAATCCAGGTGTTGCGCCAAGAGTCCCCCGAACGGCCGCCCGATCCGTCAAGCTGACCCAGAGGTATCCAGGTACGCTAAAACAGTCGGGGAAGGGGAATGAGGAGCGGGAGGGAGACAGGGAGGGCGGACGGCGAAGGGACGGAGGGAGGCGGGAGGAGTGATGAGGGAGTCTGGGGGTCCCGCGGAGTTCTGGGGGCCGTCCGAGACGGACGCTGTCCTGATGACGATGACGTTATCGTCATAGTTATTGTCATCGTCATCGTCATCGTCATCGTCATCGTCGTCGTCGTCATCATCATTGTCGTCGTCGTCGTCATTTTCATTGCCATCGTCATTGGCATCATCATCGTCGTCGTCGTCATCCTCGTTGTCATCGTCACCATCGTCATCATCGTCATCATCGTCTTCATCGTCTGCATCCTCATCGTAGTCGTGGTCATCGTCATCGTCATCGTCATCGTCATCGTCATCGTCATCGTCATCGTCATCGCTGTCGTCGTCATCGTCATCGCTGTCGTCGTCATCGTCATCGTCATCGTCTTCATCGTCATCGTCTTCCTCGCAATCGTCTTCATCGTCATCGTCATCGTTATCATCGCTGGGAGGCTTCTGGGCCGCGCCTGGGGAGGCGGGGGCGCGCCCGCCCGGCTCGGGCCGAGGACGCTCTCGGCCACGCGGCGGGGCGCATCACCCTCCCCAAAGAAAAGGACGAGGGCCGCAGGAGCAGGCGGGCGCCGCGCCCCTCCCCCGCGCGCCGACCCTCCTCCTCCTCCTCCTCCTCCTCCTCCTCCTCCTCCTCCTCTTCCTCCTCCTACTTTTTCCTCCTCATCCTCCTACTTCTTCCTCCTCCTCCTCCTCCTTCCCCTCCTCCTCCTTCCCCTCCTCCTCCTCTCCTCCTCCTCCTCCTCCTCCTGCTCCTCCTCCTCCTCCTCCTCTCTTCCTCTCCTCCTCTCCCCTCCTCCTCCTCCTCCTCCTCCTCCTCCTCCTCCTCCCTCCTCCTCCTCCTCCTCCTCCTCCTCCTCCTCCTCCTCCTCCTCCTCCTCCTCCTCCTCCTCCTCCTCTTCCTCCCCCACCTCCCCAGGGCCTCTGGGGCTTGCTTCTTGGAAGGCGTCCTGAGCTGGCGCGGCGAGGTCCCGCCCCTTTCTGTAGCTGCGTTGGGTGATTTTCGGAGCCTTTTCAGAGCCGGAGTCGTGCCGCCGTCCTCCCAAGCGTGTATGTCCACGCCAGAGGCGGGCTGGGGCCTGCGCGCTCACTTCAGTGCCGCCAGGGTCGGAGAAGACGAGTGAAGTTGCATCTCTGAGGCCTTCAGGCGTATTTTTTGTTGCCCGGTGATGCTTAGAGACATCGACGGTCGGTGCCCTGGAGTCGTTCTATGTTCTGTGTTCTGGGGTCCGTTCACCCCAGCCCTCTGGTTCGATCTCCAGAGCGTCATACGTTGTCTGATATAGAACAGGTGCTTATCTCTGCTGCATCGCCGTGCTTCCTATCTCTGCCACCACTGCCAACCCCGCAGTTCCAGTTGGTAGCGGAGCTGGCGGCAGCTCGCTACGATCCGCGAGCTCTGCGCATAGTGCGATGTGGGACGCTCATGTGCACTTCCCTCCGAGTCCACTTCGGATCCATTTCCTTCTCCCGGAGCGTCTAGTGCTCAAGGATGCTCTGCAGCCCCAGGGTGGCCCGTCTTCACGACGCGAGATGCACACACCCTGGCAATTCGCTGTGGGAGCGCGCCCCATTGACGCCACGCTGCCTGGCCCCGATGGCGCCAACCTGGCCAGCAGCCGTCCTGGCGCCGCCCTGGGCCCCCCACGCCAAACCCCGCGCTGGCGCAGACGCCCCCCCCCCCCCGCCGACTCCCACGGCAGATTCGCCGTGCACTGGAAGTGGGCCTTTCAGGGGCGACGTCACGGGATCGAAGATGGCCGAAGAGCGCCGGAGACCGCCGGGGGCCGATAGGAACATCAAGGTTGGTTCCCTGGTCCAGCGCTTTGGGGTCGAGCGCTCCTGGGGGGCCCAAGCCAGATGTCTTTCAGGAACTACCAGGCAGGCCGACCTACTTTCTTCGGTGGCAACGTTATGGGGGAGATATGCTCAGGGGGGTGGAGAGCTCAACCCTAGGATCGGCCCCAAGCCCGGAATCCAAACGGTTGAAACCAGGAATCGGTTTCTACCGCAAGCCCCGGAATTCGCTTCGAAACCAGAAATTCGCCTCGAAACCAGGAATTCCGCGGAAACGCGAAACCAGGAATTCCCATCGTTCAGATCGTGAATTCTGGGGACCTTTTCTCTCCGCTCACCCTCTGTACTTTCTCTCCACGGCCTCTCGGCGACGATGGTCGATGACGGACGACGACGAACGACAACGACGTTCTTGAACTTGTGTGGCCGGTTCGCGCGGAAGATCTCAAGATCAGGGCATCGAGTGGAGCTTTTGTTTTTGCCAGCTCCCGAGGCGTTGCCACGCGGCGAGTCGAGTGGAGTGCTATATTGTCCTCCGCGGCGCTGCCAGGTGGAGAGTTGAGTGGAGTTCGTTTCGTTCCTGAGGCGTCGCTGCGTGGAGAGTAGAGTGTAGTGATGTTGTAGTGGCCTCTGGCCAGTGCCGCCGATCTGGAACGCTTCTGTTGCTGCCGGAAATGCACGATGGCGGTCATGAATGGCGACGACGGCGAGCGGTGAGGATGATACGGAGGATTGGGAATGGTGGCGAAGGAGTAGGATGAGGGGGAGGAGGATCATGATGAAGTGGAGGGGAGTGGAGGGGGGAGGGGCAGGAGTAGCAGGATGCTGAGGACGAGGAGGAGCAGGAGGAAGCGGGAAGTGGAAAAGGGGGAGGGGGAGAAGGAGGAACATGACGAGGAATAAAAGATTTTTGGCGGTTGTTGGAGATGTTCGGCGGTTGTTGGAAAGCCTCTGTAGGGCCGGGTGTTGGCCCTCTTTTGGTTGACATCTCGCCGAATGCTCTTTGGGGGCACTCTTGGTTTCGGAGAAGTGGCCCCTGAGGGAGCGAGTCTTTAAGCAACAGCGAAATGCCCCCCCCACGGCCTACCGGGCGTAGCAACGGCGATGTCGTCGAGCTTTGTCGTCGTCGTCGTCGTCGTCGTCGATCGTCGTTGTCGTCGTCGTTGATCGGCGTCGTCCAACGGTTTCAGCTTTTCGGCCCGGACCCGTTTTTGACGGCCCCGCGGAAGCCCGAAAGAGCTCTCTGGCCATCCCGGACACCCGCAGAATAACCAAACATTTCTTCAAACTGTTTGTTTATCTCTGGACATGCCTGTGCAAAACACATTTTCCCAGCGATGTTGTTTCAGGACTCGCTTCCTCAACGGTCATGATTCCGACTTTCTGTTTAAAAACTCGTTTCTTGGTTTCGTTTCTGGTTGGGCCCGGCTGCGTGCGTTTCTTGGCTTTGTTTGTTGAAGGTTGCGTGATGTCCTGGGGGGTTTTGCGGGCTCGTGTCTGGGTGGGGCGAGTTCTCTTGTCAGCGCCTGTCTTTTGGAACGCGAGGGGGAGGAGCAGTAGTCGGAAGAGGAGGAGGAAGAAAAAGAGGAGGAGGAGGAGGTGGAGCTGGAGGAGAAGGACATGAAGGTGGAGGAGAAGGTCGAAGAGGTGCAGCTGTCTCCGTCACCGCTCTTTTTGTGGAGCCTTGTGCATCACCGGTCTCTGCTGGGAACCATGGACCATGGTGTTTCTGGGGTCTCTGGGCCTTCGCTCGGTCCTCTGCAGGCCCTTGTGAGATCATGGATGTGGAGGACGCCGATGACGGGAGACGACGTGAAATCATGGAACAACCTTGTGTATTGCAGCGCTTGTGTTCAGACGTAAGCGTTGTGGAAGCATTGGGGCCGGTTTTGGGCTTCTCAGGGGCGGTCGCTTGGAGGCCTCTAGAAGGCGTCTTTGGTGCATTTTTTAAAACTCTTGGGGGCCTTCAGGGGCTTCAGGGGGGCAGACTTTCTCAGAAGGCTCACATAAGTTCCCCAGCATTTAACAGGTTTTCGAAGCCTTCCCCGAAGACGCAGAAAGCCTCTCAGAAGGCGCGAGGGCTTCTGAGAAGCCTCGCCGCCTTCCTAGAAGGCCTTCTACTTCTCACTCCACCCCCTCGCTCGCGGTCGACATAATGGAGGCACGCGCAGCATCCAGCGCGTGCGGATCCGCGCCGCTGGCAGCTCTGGATCACACCCTTCTCCTCCTCCTCCTCCTCCTCCTCCTCCTCCTCCTACCCCTCGTTTCTTTTCTCCTTGCTGCACCCTCAGACGAGAGCGCGTCCCTCCTCGCTCTCTCTCCTCGCTATGTGTTGCTTATTCCCTCGCTCTCTCCCTCTGTCCCTCTCTCCCTTTCTCTCTCCCTTTCTGTACTTTGTCTGTCTGTCCGTCCGTCCGTCCGTCCGTCCGTTTGTCCGTCCGTCCGTCCGTCCGTCTGTCTGTCTGTCTGTCTGCCTGTCTGTCTGTCTGTTTGTCTGTTTGTCTGTCTGTCTGTCTGTCTCTTTCCCTCTCTCTCTCTCTCATCGCGTTGCGAGCGCCGCACCAAGTGACGCGATTCGTGCGCGGCATGCAGTTAGTCGCGCGCCGCCTGCGGCACATTTTAATCGCAGGGCAGAGCGACGCCCCGAGCATCGCGAGACCCCCGCTCGCAGTGCGCGCGCCCGCCTCGTCGCACAGCGAGGCGCCGCCTCCGTCGCGTCGCGAGACCCCCGCGCGACACTCGCGCTCCGAGACCGCCGCCGATGCGACGCGCGAGTCCTTCCCCTCCTCCCCCCCCTCCTCCTCCTTCTCCTCCTCCTCCTCCATCTCCTCCTCTTCCTCCTCCTCCTCCTCCTCCCTCTCCTCCGCCGAACCCCAACTCGAGTGCCGCTTGGTCGCGCGAGGAGCCGTCTCGGCGCCGCGCACCAGCCCCAGCGCGAGAGTTCGCATGCCGTTGCCGATGTGGCGCGTCGGCAGCTGACCGCTCGCGTAGCTACGCGTGAGATTTCACACTCGTGGCGCGAGTCCCTGGCTCAGAGTCGCACGGCGAGAGATCTGAGGAGGAAACGTATCACAACGGGCGAGGCGGGAGCTCACTTTCGGGCGCAGCAGGGGCAGGTGTGTAGGAGAGTAGCTCACCCCACTCAGTCCTGCTGAGGGGGGGATGCGTGCGCACGTTCTTTGCCAGCACCCTCTCTATCTCTCTCCTTCTCTGTCTCTCTCTCTCTCTCTCTCTCCTTCGCGCTCCTCCCTCTCAGACGTGAATGCGTCTCTTGTCCCCATCCTCCCCGCCCCCCCTCCAGCCTCAGACGAGAGCGCGTCTCCTGCTTTCTCCATCCTCCCTCCCTGCCTCTGCTCCTCGCCCGGAAGCGAGGGAGGAGGGAGGCCACCTTCTGACCGTCTTCTTTCCTGAGCCTATCGAGAAGAGGAGGGGTCGTTCGTCCTCTCTCCTCCGTCTATCCTCCTCTTTCTCCTCCCCCTCCTCCTCCTCTTCCTCCTCCTCCTCCGTTCCTCCTCCTCCTCCTCCTCCGTCCCTCCTCTTCCTCCTCCGTCCCTCCTCCTCCTCCTTGTGGAGGCGGCCATGTCCGGGCTGTGCTGCCTGCGCCCTGGAGCAGGCGCCGCGGCCCCACGCCGCGCGGGGGCGCCTGTCTTGTCGTCGTCGTCGTCGTCGTCGTCGTCGTTGTGTTGTCGTTGTTGTTGTTGTTGTTGTTGTTGTTGTTGGTGTTGTTGTTGTCGTTGTTGTTGTTGTTGTAACTGTTATTGTTGTTGTTGTTGTTGTTGTTGTTGTTGTTGTTGTTGTTGTTGTTGTTGTGGTTGTTATTGTTCTTGTTGTTGTCGTCTTCGTTGCTGCTGCTGTTGTTGGTGTTGTTGTCGTCGTCGTTGTTGTTGTTGTGATTGTCGTCGTCGTCGTTGTCGTTGTCGTCGTCGTCGTCGTCGTCGTTGTTCTTGTTGTTGTCATCGTCGTCGTCGTTGTGGTTGTTCTTGTTGTTGTTCTTGTTGTTGTTGTTGTTGTTGTCGTCGTTGTCGTTATCGTCGTCGTCGTTGTTGATGCTGTTGTTGTCGTCGTCGTCGTTGTTGTCGTCGTCGTTCTTGTTGTCGTTGTTGTCGTTGTCGTTGTTGGTGTTTTTCTGGTTGTTGTCGTCGTCGACGGCATTGTTGTTGTTGTTGTTGTTGTTGTTGTTGTTGTTGTTGTTGTTGTTGTTGTTGTTATTGTTGTTGTTGTTGTTGTTTTCGTTGTCGTCGTCGTCGTTGTCGTTGTTGTTGTTCTCGTCGTCGTCGTTGTCGTCTTTGTTGTTGTTTGTAGTTGGTTGTTGATGCTGTTGTTGTCGTCGTCGTCGTCGTCGTTTTTGTCGTCGTCGTCGTCGTCGTTGTTGTCGTCGTCGTCGTTGTTGTTGTTGCTGTTGTTGTTGTTGTTGTCGTCATCGTCGTCGTTGTTGTCGTCGTCGTCGTCGTTGTTGTTGTTGCTGCAGTTGTTGTTGTGGTTGTCGTCGTCGTCGTCGTTCTCGTCGTTGTCGTCGTCGTCGACGTCGTCGTCGTCTTCGTCGTCGCCGTCCGCAGCCATTTGGCTCAAGCTTCGGGGCGAGCGCTGGTGTTGCTGAGACCAGGGCAGGCGGCGGGCCGCGCGATCCGGGGCCGCCCAGCGATGGCGGACTGAGTGGCCGTGGTGAGGTGCCGGTCGCCGCATACCTGCGCATGGGCCTCCCATGGGGAGACTGCTGGTGCGGGTGCGGGGCGGCCTGCTGGGCCCCGCCGCTGCTCTTCCCCATGCTGGGAGGCGTCCGTCGCCAGTGGGCGGTGGTGCAGGCTGCGGGGCAGATGGACTTCACGGAGGGGGACAGGGCTCGAATCGATTCGCCCGATTCGATGCGATTCGATTTCGATGGCTTCCGATTCCGATTCGTTTCGACTTGGGATTCCGATTTGGTTTCCGATTTCTTATTGGAGGCATGCTGGCATGCCGATTTCCGCCGATCCGACGTTTCCCGACTCGGCTGCCGTTTTCGCCGATCCGGTTCATGTCCTTCTCCAGTCCGACTTTTCGATTCGATTCTGGGCTCTCCTGGGGGGAGGCCGCGAAGGAGGGAATGAAGGAACATGTATGGAAGGCGGACGTGGCCGACGCGAAGGGGGGCGTGGCCAAGAACGACTTGGCCACATGGGCGTGATGAACCAGAATATCGCGTTGCAAGTGCCAGGACTCGGTTGTGGGAGCGTCCTTCGTGGGGAAGGATGCGACGATCAACGGTGTGAATGTTATGTGCTCTGAGATTTGTATTATGGATAATCTCTTTCGTTTTGATGTGTGGGTTTGGAGTCGAATCTCGGTTGCGAAGGCTTTGGTAAGGCTCGCGCCTGCCAGGGACCAAGCGATGGTGTGTGCGGTGCCGGAGACGAATGAGTACCGCATTGGATAGAAGGTGTATGAGCACCCGAAGAAGCACCCGACGGGTAGGATTAAGGCCATCGCCTCCAAGCCGACCGCCGGGAACAAAAAGGTCATCGACGGTTGGTTGCGCGAGATGCCTCCGGGGGCCCCGCCAACAGCTTCGACGGAGCCAGCGACGAACGCTGACAATAAGCAGAAGAAGAATAGTGAAACAAGTTGGAACCATTGCGCGCGGAGTGGCAGTGCACTTCAGTCTTGGATGCCAATGATTGGGATATCCTTGTTGCGCGAAGGCCGCCGAATAATTGCAGCGAGATGAGTGCGGCACATGTGGTCACGGTTGCTGAGTTGCTTGGGCTTGCCAAGCCCGGCGGCTCCTGGCAGCGCCCAGACCCCCCCGGGCCCTTCGGCTTCGTGCTGGCGCAGTCTCTAGCACAGGTGCCGATGGAGTTGTGCATCATATGTAGACAGCGAGGGCTGGCGCCCCTAATCTCTCTTGTGGATGTCCAATTGATCGCCGATGGTGGTCGTGTTACTAAACAGTGGTATGCGTGGCAGTGCGGTGGTGCAGTCAGTTCGCCAGTGGTGCCCAAGCGTAAGCCAACGAAGATGCAGTGTCCACAGGGCGAGCTCATGGACGTTGCTGTTCCTGAGGTGCATCCCGGTGAGAGGCTGTGCAAAGACCCGCTGCAGTTGCGCGGGCATGCCACCTCGGCGCGAGACGAGCGCGCAGAGACTCCTGCTGAGAGTATGATTCTCCCCCGCCATGGAGAGTGTTAAGTCAATGGCTTGCTCGCGTCGACGAGGCGAAGTTCCCCTTGCGCGCCCCGGGTGCAGATCTGAATCTACGTGTATGGAGTGGGCGAGTATGTAATGGAGCCTCTCTGAGCGGCGTGTGATCTCTGGCTTGCTCGAGGCGTCGGCGGAGAGAGCGCAGCCGTTGCGAAGCGAGCCTGGGCCTGATGGTATCACATTTCAATGCTCGGGAGCAGGAGGTGCTGCACATGTGATGTTGGATGCGGAAAAGGAGATGGGGGACTTCGCACCTGTCGCCAGGGGTTGCCGCGGAGGAGGCGCTTAAGCAGATCGAGAAATTGGAAGGTGGACGTGGATTTGGCAGTCGGCCAAACGGTGCGCTTTCCTTCGGAGATGATGGGGGGAGTGCGTCGGCAGCCTGGCAGTTGTTGCAGCCGCGAGCTCCGCCTGCACCTGCGTTGTTTGAATATGCGCCGCTCCCCAGACTTGTTGCGGGCAAACAGGTGGGTCTTGGGGCCATCGATGAAACTGAGGTGGCAGGCGGAATGTCTACGTGTGCGTGCGCGTGGCAAAAGACCTCGAGTTGCTCCAGTGGCGCGGGTGCGTGCCGCTGGACCTCCGCAGGTATTTGGCCTCTTGTTGGGTGACTTGCAGGCCGCGGTCAACGAGCTGTATATAGAGAACGAACATAATGCTTCGCCGTCTCGATCATTTGTGGACATGGAAAAAAGTGCAATGGCGAGAAGCCGAGCGACGAACCCACGCCGCCAGTGGCCACGGCGACGTTGACAGGTTTGAGAGCGCAACTCGCGCGACCAGGACGTGCGCGACGGCAGCAGGTGCAGCCGCGTCAGCCAGTGGAGATATTTAGCCACCCATCTTCAGCCGGCAGTGGGTGGGCACTTGATTTTCAGGGATCCAATGCTGGGGCGATCAGCGCGGCAATGGCATCGCAGAAGCAGTAGAGCATGTCGCAGTGACAGTCGCAAGGCCAAGGGCCAGCGAAGTGCTATATTCTACTGCGAGGAGGAGATGAACTGAGCAGGAGAAGGAGCAGGCTGCTGGGCTCGAACACTTAGCCAGGCGACTTCGTGAAACTAATGGTATGTAAGTGGGCAGCTGCCTGTTCGTCGGCTTCGTGGCAAGCGGCCTCCTGGCGGGGCCTGCGCCTGCAAGCTCAAGGAGATTTGCGACCTTTTCATCGGCGAATAGTTGCAGCTGGAAGACCTATTCTGGTCGAGCGCAATGCGCGGCAGCGGGGGTCCCGGCTCTTCAGGATGCGCGCCCCAATCTTCGTGGGCAGATGGGCCGTGCCAAGGCGTGTGCAGCATTCCGACATCAAGCGTGCTTTGGACTGCCAGTTCAAGCGCAAGTATGTCATGGAGAGAAGGCGTCGCGTACTGCGCAGGGTGGAGTCGCCGCGCCCACCATGCATGGTGATGTCGCTGTTGATTGTAGGGGGAAGCGTGGCGCAGCGCGAGAGCTCTACCAGGCGACGAGATGGATGCGGCAGCTGGTTTAAATTCGCGGCGCTCCAGTACTTATCATTTCTCTATATGCAAGGAATCAGGACATGAAACATTGCTGCGCGCTCAACAACGGAGGAATTTCCAGTGTGCTTTCGAGGATGCCGAAGCCTGGGAAGATCAAGCAGTCCTGATGTTCGTGGATTCTAACATTATCTCAGTCATCCATGCCATCAGCAGCCATGGCAAACGATGTTGTAGCCATCTGCGGAGCCGAGCCGACCTATTCCTAGGATCCAAGGTGGGGTAAGTCCCCAGCTGGTGTCCAGGTTAGTCGGCAAGGTCTTACCATAGCAAGTACTGCGGCGCGTGAAGCAATGTATTCACGCCGCCTTCGCAGAGACGCCGGGATACGTTCTCACCTAGGGCTTGAACTCGCCCTCGAAGTCAAGGTGGCAACGTCTTCGGGCCTCGACTTGCCCAGTCGGGGTGCTCAGGAAGATGCTTGATGAAGATGTCGAGGCACTCGGCAAGGAGTGCATTGATTAATTCCATGATGAGTTCGAGAACGCACTGGGGGGCGAGGCGGCGGATGAGGCATGGGAGCTTGTTGGCGCGATGGGGAAATATTTCTTGCACGTCGGCTTGAACATGCAAGCGTTTGTTTCGACCGCCGGTATCGCGGACGTAGCCAGATGCCCCGTCTCATCGATTTCACTGCGACGGCTCCAGTCAATGTGAAACGAGGCCCTGCGAGAGAAGGGCCATCTGCCGTGCAGATGCGTAGCTGGAGAATGTTTTGGCTAATGGGTTTGGCGACCCAGCCGGCGAAATGTGCGCCAGAATGTGGGCCAGCCTCAGACCGACCACCATTGCCAAGACGATTGTGTGCGCAGAGATTGCGGGATAAAGTGCGCCCGAGCTCCGGCGAGCCCTTCGACTACCTGACCTGCTTTAGTTTTAGCCGCATCTTGAAAGAGTCAGCGTGTGGCGAGATCAACGTGAA